TTAGCTAGCTATTCTTAAACGAGTGCCTACAGCTATAGGTTTAGATAAGCTAGCTATTCTTAAACGAGTGCCTACAGCTATAGGTTATAGGTTATTCTTAGTGCCTACAGCTATAGGTTATAGATAAGCTAGCTATTCTTAAACGAGTGCCTACAGCTATAGGTTATATTAGCTATTCTTAAACGAGTGCCTACAGCTATAGGTTATAGATAAGCTAGCTATTCTTAAACGAGTGCCTACAGCTATAGGTTATAGATAAGCTAGCTATTCTTAAACGAGTGCCTACAGCTATAGGTTATAGATAAGCTAGCTATTCTTAAACGAGTGCCTACAGCTATAGGTTATAGATAAGCTAGCTATTCTTAAACGAGTGCCTACAGCTATAGGTTATAGATAAGCTAGCTATTCTTAAACGAGTGCCTACAGCTATAGGTTATAGATAAGCTAGCTATTCTTAAACGAGTGCCTACAGCTATAGGTTATAGATAAGCTAGCTATTCTTAAACGAGTGCCTACAGCTATAGGTTATAGATAAGGTAGCTATTCTTAAACGAGTGCCTACAGCTATAGGTTATAGATAAGCTAGCTATTCTTAAACGAGTGCCTACAGCTATAGGTTATAGATAAGCTAGCTATTCTTAAACGAGTGCCTACAGCTATAGGTTATAGATAAGCTAGCTATTCTTAAACGAGTGCCTACAGCTATAGGTTATAGATAAGCTAGCTATTCTTAAACGAGTGCCTACAGCTATAGGTTATAGATAAGCTAGCTATTCTTAAACGAGTGCCAACAGCTATAGGTTTAAGATTAGCTAGCTATTCTTAAATGAGTTTCTACAAAGCTATAGGTTTAAGATTAGCTAGCTATTCCTAAATGAGTTTCTACAAAGCTATAGGTTAAAGATTAGCTAGCTATTCCTAAATGAGTTTCTACAAAGCTATAGGTTAAAGATTAGCTAGCTATTCCTAAATGAGTTTCTACAAAGCTATAGGTTATAGATTTACTTGCTAACAATGAGCTATTCTAACACCTGATTTGTAACATTCTGAATTCACATTATAACTTGATACCAGGGGAATCTTCAAATCTATTCTCTAATATGTACATCATACCATTCTAAGCTTTAATAGCATTACTCTTTAAATCTTAAACTTTTCAAATGTTATCACCAAAAAATCACCTCATAAAGAGAACTATAATAAAAATAAAAAGACACAATAAACAGCATTAAAGAGTCAATCATCATCAAGATGTGGTGGTAACAGTGAACTGGAGACTAGGGAAGGGGGATTGTAGTGTGTGATGAGCCACAGGGAGGTGTACAGGAGATTTTACCATTAAATGGAAGTGATGGAATCAATAACCAGGCTTCAACACCACTCAAACAGGAATGAGTGTTCAAAAAGCAATCAAGTTTCCAAAATTAAGACGACCCTTCGCATGAAATCACACTGATGAGTTAGGATGTGGTGACATAAACACACAGCAGTTTAGTTTGGTTCAATATTTGTAAGGATTTATTATTTATCAACCTGACATAACCTTACAAAATCACGGACCCTCAGAGTGCTTGGCCCTCCAAAGTAGGATCAAATTTGCTAACACTGTCTGTTTAGGAGGGATACTCTTAATTTAGGACTGAATCTTTACAAGGGGCCTAACACCTGAGGTGAGCAAAATTGAATGTAAAGGTTATTGGGTACATAGCTTTCAAATGTCATGAAAAAGAAATAGAGATATGAATGATAGGATGTCTTTGGTGATAAGTTTTAAGCCGTCGGGTACAGATACTGATAACAACTTTATTCTCAAAAATCCCTTTCTCCTAAAAAAATGTATAGTTAACTTTACCCCCTCCCCAGGGGGAAATAATAGACCCTGGGGCCATGAAATTCACAATTTTGGCACCTGAAGACCCTTCCATCTATGAAGAAAATTTGATTCAACCATATCTGGAAGTTGAGGAGATGACTTTTTAAATTTGAGTCAAGTTGACCACTTTGGGCCCTAGTAATGCCCAGTAGAACTTGAGGGTCAGCAAGGACCAATATATGCATACCATTGAGCTGTCATCCATTGCTAATAATTCTAATCAAATTTGAAATATTTTCAATGCAAATTATACAAAAAAAATATGTTCAAAATTCTACTTTTCCCCAGGGAGAAATGTGAGACCTTGGGGCAATAAAATTCATAGTTTTGACAAAGCACCTCAACATTCTTCCATCCATGAAGAGTATTTGATTCTACCATATTTGGGAGTTGAGGAAATGATTTTTTAAATTTGGGTTAAGCTGATCACTTTTGGCCCCACAAATCTGCCCCTTTGGGGTCAGCCAGGATCAATATGCTGACATCCTTTGCTTACTATTATTACTTAGTTTGAAATATTTCCAATGGAAAATAAACAAATTGTGCTCATAGATCTACTTTTCCTATATAAACACCCCCTCCCTATGGGGAAATGTGAGATCCTGGGGTCATAAAATTCACATTTGTGGTACATTTCACAACTTTTGTTTATCTTTCGCCAATAACGGTTTGATTTAGAGGTTTTTGAGAAGAAGCAAAAATGCTTAAAGTTTACAAAATGCAATTTGCTAGACTAAAGGCAATGGTAATAGGCCACCATGAAAATATGTCTCAGGTATCCTAAACATCTTTCTAATAAATAAATGTTTCAAAACTTCAGTGAGTCCACCAGAAAGAATAACCTAATATATACTGTTGTAATTCGGTTTTGATTTGCATAAAGCAGATCTATAAATGTAAGTTTCTGAGGTTTGAAAGTCTAAACACACTATCTCCTCTTATGCAAGTTTGAAAAACTTCAAGTATGTTAGCAAATAATAACTTAATAAAGCTAATATGAGTCAAATGATTATTGACATTTGGTCAAAAGAGGAAAAATAAACAATGAGAAAAACTCCACTACCTACAGAGAAGGACAATCTGTATTGTAAGGACCAAGGATCCTCAGAATGTCTCTAACCTGGACCTCTGTTTTGAGTGTCATTTTTTTGTACACACAAAGTAAATCGTTTTCCTGGATCAGGATTTCTATACAAATGCACCAGTTCCATCTCTTAATTTAATCCTTCCTTCTGTCCTAACAGCAGACGCTGAGTCTATGATATGTCTATTCAAACTCCAATACAGCCAATTGGAAATTTCCTAAATATTTTTTCACTCTTAAATAGAACGATTTATTTTTTTTGACTGATGTTTTCCATCAAAGAAACAAAAATGCAACATATCATAGAATCAGTTTCAATAAAACCTAATCAATTCACACAGACAAGAACCACAATAGCAGTGTGTGGAGAAATGGTATGTTGCTGCAAAAAAAAAAACCCTCATCTATCTCCATTTCTTCCTGGTCTTCTCTTTTCAGAGGCAGGGAGGAAACATTTTGCGTGAGAACACCAGCCATTATATGCTGGAGATATCAGAAATCAACATCAGCAACTACCGGGGGAGCAACTATTTATATATGTAGCATTGAACACAATACCTTCCACTGTACAGATAGTGTCTATAACAGACTAAATATCTTCCTCTATATAGCTAGTGTTTATAACAGTCAGACTAAATATCTCCCACTATATAGCCAGTGTCTATAACAGTTAGACTAAATATCTCCCACTGAAACTAGCACCTAAAAAAGTCATACTTAATATCTTTCCTTATTTACTGAAAATTGCTTTTTTTTGAAGGCCAGCACACGTTAAATATCAAGTCATCAATATCTTTAACCCATTCAGACTATTGAGAACCCATCACACTTCCCAACATCTTCTCTTGATATCTGGTACACATATAAATACAAACCGAAAACAAATAAACTTTTTGTAAAAGGAAACATCATTGAAATATAAATGACTGATAAAATAAAAACTCTCCAAACATCAGAATAAACAACTGTAAGTATGGAATAAATGAATGATCTCCATTGTACCTACATGTAAAATGTTGTAAAGGACATGTCATTATTGTACTAATTATAGTGCTCTGGTCAAGTTATATTTTCCACATTGTCCCAGCTACTAGTTAAACTCTGTCCCAGCTACAAGTTTAACTCTACCCCAGCTACTAGTTCAACTCTGCCCCAACTACAAGTTCAACTCTGTCCCAGCTACAAGTTTAACTCTGTCCCAGCTACAAGTTCAACTCTGTCCCAGCTACAAGTTTAATTCAACCCCAGCTACAAGTTCAACTCTACCCCAGCTACAAGTTCAACTCTGTCCCAGCTACAAGTTCAACTCTACCCCAGCTACAAGTTCAACTCTACCCCAGCTACAAGTTCAACTCTGTCCCAGCTACAAGTTCAACTCTGCCCGAGTTACATTTTCTCGTTCAACTTTATTCTACCTGTAAGTGCCACCCTGTCCTAGTTAGAAATTCCTTCTATTTCACCTTTCAGTTAAACTACGATCATATCAACAATTACAGTATTTTAACTGTATAGCCGGTTATTTTCATGGGGCATTTTCACTTGAAATTAAGGAATCAAATTTCTGAATTATAAAATGATATCTAATTTTTGCCATTCAGTAGCTGTTTATCAAGTTTCAATCATAAACATATTGCTGATTTATCAGTAAAACATCAACATGACTGAATGAGATTTGATAAAGTTTTATGATTATAAAGTATTTTGTAACATGTAACCAATTATCTGTATCACATACCATTTCACCTGTTACAAACAATTGTTACCATAGAAATGGTGAATAGATGATGGCTGTATCATCCGCTTAATCTTATGGACAAAATTTACACAAGTTTTTTTTTCACAACTCAAATTTTCTTGATCGCATTTATGTCTATGAAATATGAAAAAAATATAAAGGTCCTGTATTTAGTTCATTCTTTTCATCTTTTTCATATTTTATCTTATTGACTTTCGTTGTTTCAAAATTATGTTAGTTTCTAGTAATAGGTGAGTTATGTTTGGGAATCTAAACACATGGTACTTAAAAGGTAGGTATCTACTTACACATTGCTGAAATCAAATAAAAATCTATAAAAAAAACTTATAACACAAGTATAACAAGGTATATAATATTGCAAAAAATAGTATTCATGATGGTAAACCCACAGGATAGCAAGTACATGGTAGAGCAGTTAGTACATGGTACAGTAGTCAGTACATGGTACAGTAGTCAGTACTACATAGTACAGTAGTCAGTTCATGGTACAGTAGTCAGTACATGGCACAGTAGTCAGTACTACATAGTACAGTAGTCAGTACATGGTACAGTAGTCAGTACTACATAGTGCAGTCGTCAGTACATGGTACAGTAGTCAGTACTTCATGGTACAGTAGTCAGTACATGGTACAGTAGTCAGTACTACATAGTACAGTAGTCAGTACACAGTAGTCAGTACATGGTACAGTAGTCAGTACATGGTACAGTAGTTAGTACATGGTACAGTAGTCAGTACTTCATGGTACAGTAGCTAGTACATGGTACAGTAGTCAGTACTACATAGTACAGTAGTCAGTACATGGTACAGTAGTCAGTACTACATAGTGCAGTCGTCAGTACATGGTACAGTAGTCAGTACTACATGGTACAGTAGTCAGTACATGGTACAGTAGTCAGTACTTCATGGTACAGAAGTCAGTACTACATGGAAAAGTAATCAGTACATGGTACAGTAGTCAGTACTACATGGTACAGTAGTCAGTACTGCATGGTACAGTAGTCAGTGCATGGTACAGTAGTCAGTACTTCATGGTACAGTAGTCAGTACTACATAGTACAGTAGTCAGTACACAGTAGTCAGTGCATGGTACAGTAGTCAGTACATGGTACAGTAGTCAGTACTTCATGGTACAGTAGCTAGTACATGGTACAGTAGTCAGTACTACATAGTACAGTAGTCAGTACATGGTACAGTAGTCAGTACTACATAGTGCAGTCGTCAGTACATGGTACAGTAGTCAGTACTACATGGTACAGTAGTCAGTACATGGTACAGTAGTCAGTACTTCATGGTACAGAAGTCAGTACTACATGGAAAAGTAATCAGTACATGGTACAGTAGTCAGTACTACATGGTACAGTAGTCAGTACTGCATGGTACAGTAGTCAGTACATGGTACAGTAGTCAGTACTTCATGGTACAGAAGTCAGTACTACATGGTAAAGTAATCAGTACATGGTACAGTAGTCAGTACTACATGGTACAGTAGTCAGTACATAGTGCAGTAGTCAGTATATGGTACAGTAGTCAGTACTACATGGTACAGTAGTCAGTACATGGTGCAGTAGTCAGTACTACATGGTACAGTAGTCAGTACTACATGGTACAGTAGTCAGTACATGGTACAGTAGTCAGTACTACACGGTACAGAAGTCAGTACATGGTACAGTAGTCAGTACTACATGGTACAGTAGTCAGTACTACATAGTACAGTAGTCAGTACATGGTACAGTAGTCAGTACATGGTACAGTAGTCAGTACTACATGGTACAGTAGCCAGTACATGGTACAGTAGTCAGTATATGGTACAGTAGTCAGTACATGGTACAGTAGTCAGTACATGGTACAGAAGTCAGTACTGCATGGTACAGTAGCCAGTACATGGTACAGTAGTCAGTACTACATGGTACAGTAGTCAGTTCATGGTGCAGTAGTCAGTACTACATGGTACAGTAAATAGTACTACATGGTACAGTAGTCAGTACTACATGGTACAGTAGTCAGTACATGGTACAGTAGTCAGTGCTACATGGTACAGTAGTCAGTACTACATAGTACAGTAGTCAGTACATGGTACAGTAGTCAGTACTACATGGTATAGTAGTCAGTTCATGGTACAGTAGTCAGTACATGGTACAGTAGTCAGTACTACATGGTACAGTAGTCAGTACTACATGGTACAGTAGTCAGTACATGGTACAGTAGTCAGTACTACATGGTACAGTAGTCAGTACATGGTACAGCAGTCAGTACTACATGGTACAGTAGTCAGTACATGGTACAGTAGTCAGTACTACATGGTACAGTAGTCAGTACTACATGGTACAGTAGTCAGTACATGGTACAGTAGTCAGTACATGGTACAGTAGTCAGTACATGGTACAGCAGTCAGTACTACATGGTACAGTAGTCAGTACTACATGGTACAGTAGTCAGTACATGGTACAGTAGTCAGTACTACATGGTACAGTAGTCAGTATATGGTACAGTAGTCAGTACATGGTACAGTAGACTGTTGAGAGAACAGACTAAGAGATAAAAGGAAAAAGCTACCATAATGGAAATAGTCATATGAAGCAAAACAAGTGAATAAGAAGACTCAAAGTATATTGACCAGAAAATTGTAAAACAATCTAAATTAATGCTCTGAAGCAATACTTACAATCTCGCATTATATATAGTTGTTGCTTACCTGCGTTGTAGATATTTCTGTATGATGGGGTTGGTAATCATTTTACACTGGTCTAATAATTTGTCAACAGCCATGGCACGGGCCTACAACAAACAAATAATTCCTTAAGTCTTTGATTCTTGCCTTGTATCATTGTCTTGATTTTGTATGTATTTTGTGTGTTCTGCAAATTTTACCTATGGTGTTTCTAATTTTGTATTTTCCTTCATACAGCAAAGCACATTCATTGTTTTCAGTCTATAGACTTTGTGTCTATATTACTTATCTTTTCCTTTCAATATATCAAATATAGTTGTGTTCCATTTCTGTTTCTATTTTCCATATATTTGTTATTTATGTCAAAACATTATCTCCAGTTTAAAGAAAGAAATATGTCAGTGCCTACATGACTTTGTACTGTGATTCAGACTAAATCGTCCCATTATTTGTCTCTGTGACTAGGTACTGTGATTCAGACTAAATTGTCCCATTATTTGTCTCTGTGACTAGGTACTGTGATTCAGACTAAATCGTCCTGTTATTTGTCTCTGTGACTAGGTACTGTGATTCAGACTAAATCGTCCTGTTATTTGTCTCTGTGACTAGGTACTGTGATTCAGACTAAATCGTCCTGTTATTTGTCTCTGTGACTAGGTACTGTGATTCAGACTAAATCGTCCTGTTATTTGTCTCTGTGACTAGGTACTGTGATTCAGACTAAATCGTCCTGTTATTTGTCTCTGTGACTAGGTACTGTGATTCAGACTAAATCGTCCCATTATTTGTCTCTGTGACTATGTACTGTGATTCAGACTAAATCGTCCTGTTATTTGTCTCTGCGACTATGTACTGTGATTAAGACTAAATTGTCCCATTATTTGTCTCTGTGACAAGGTACTGTGATTCAGACAAAAAGTGTCCCGTTATTTGTCTCTGTGACTATGTACTGTGATTCAGACTAAATTGTCCCGTTATTTGTCTCTGTGACTATGTACTGTGATTCAGACTAAATTGTCCCGTTATTTGTCTCTGTGACTAGGTACTGTGATTCAGACTAAATCGTCCCATTATTTGTCTCTGTGACTAGGTACTGTGATTCAGACTAAATTGTCCCATTATTTGTCTCTGTGACTATGTACTGTGATTCAGACTAAATTGTCCCGTTATTTGTCTCTGTGACTATGTACTGTGATTCAGACTAAATTGTCCCGTTATTTGTCTCTGTGACTATGTACTGTGATTCAGACAAAAATTGTCCTGTTATTTGTCTCTGTGACTAGGTGCTGTGATTCAGACTAAATTGTCTCGTTATTTGTCTCTGTGACTAGGTACTGTGATTCAGACTAAATCGTCCTGATAATTTTTCAGTTGATATTTTAAGCCTCAATTTAAAGCTAACACCAAAGGAAATTGATGTCTCATAATTTGGATAGCCAAGTACTCTTGAGAGTAAGAAGCATTTCAAATCGAACAGCTAATACCCTGAAGCAATCAGATTACCAATGGCTGATCAGCTAACTCTATTTTGATGGCTCAGAATCAGAACAGAAATTCAATTTTGAAATCAATATATCAGAGTTAAATGAATAAGTTACAGCCTTATTCCATTTTGAGTAAAAATGAAAATTAATTTTCTGAGATGATACAAACAGATTGTCCATTACAATGATCAAATGTTACCAGTAACCCCAACCTTACTCTGGTTATCAGCTTAACAGAAAATGGCACACATTAAAACTCAAACGGCATTTCTAAACTATCACTTGCTGACATATTCAGCCAAGATGGTTAAAGTCAAATAAAACTAAATGTATTTGATAAAAGGCTATTTTTTACACATACATACTGTAAGGTAAACACTGTTCCAGTTTTTGTGGACCAACAGCTTGCTACAAATGTGATGTATGTAAGCAGACATCATGAAATAGACCATTGTTTTCTTAATTCTTTTTGTTTACAATGTACCTGTTTACAAAGTTTGGTAACATTCTCAAAAGTAGCTAAATATAGAACCCCACCACAATACCGAACATTATAGAAAATGAAAGAGATGAAAGCTATGAAAGCTTTGCTGATGTGTATTGGATATTTTGATATATTCTTAATCAATCTGCTTCAAGATTTTAAAATAGTTCTCCTCACCATGTGAATTTTATATGTCAACCGAATTCTGATTTAAATTACAAGCCTCACTCTGAAAAAGCAATCAGCTAAAAGATTATTTATTGTTTTCACAGTACAATCGGCATGGTCACAAGCTGTTCAATCCTAACTGGTTAGTGGTCATGTTTTGTCTGGACTGTGATGACTGGTACTGGTCTAGTTGTTATAGAGATAAAAATCTTGGCTGTGATGATATATCTTCTGTGATGAGAACGTTGGCCTATAGAACACGTTTTTATTGAATTATCTGCAGTCAGTATTCATAATGAAATGTCTTGACTGTTATGTAGTGCATTGTCTATCTGTAGACTTTGTCAACAAAAAACAAATTTACTGAGCAATCTCACTATTTATACTGAACACAAAAGAAGACAAAGAAGTGCCATATTTGCTGTACAGAGTTCTAACACACCTTCTTGTACAGGATTATAACCCACCTTACTGTACAGGATTATAACCTATCTTACTGTACAGGATTATAACCCACCTTACTGTACAGGATTTTAACCCACCTTACCTTACAGGATTATAACCCACCTTACTGTACAGGATTATAACCCACCTTACTGTACAGGATTATAACCCACCTTACTGTACAGGATTATAACCCACTTTACTGTACAGGATTATAACCCACCTTACTGTACAGGATTATAACCCATCTTACTGTACAGGATTATAACCCACCTTACTGTACAGGATTATAACCCACCTTACTGTACAGGATTATAACCCACCTTACTCTACAGGATTATAACCCACCTTACTGTACAGGATTATAACCCACCTTACTGTACAGGATTATAACCCACCTTACTGTACAGGATTATAACCCACTTTACTGTACAAGATTATAACCTATCTTACTGTACAACCCACCTGACTTCCAACCAGTCTGACTGTACCTGGTTCACTGTACTAGGTTACATCCCACTTCACTGTACAGGGTTACAACCCACTTCACTGTACAGGGTTACAACCCACATCACTTTACTAGGTTACAACCCACATCACTGTACTAGGTTACAACCCACTTCACTGTACAGGGCTACAACCCACATCACTTTACTAGGTTACAACCCACATCACTGTACTAGGTTACAACCCACTTCACTGTACAGGGTTACAACCCACATCACTTTACTAGGTTACAACCCACATCACTGTACTAGGTTACAACCCACTTCACTGTACTAGGTTACAACCCACCTCACTGTACTAGGTTACAACCCACTTCACTGTACTAGGTTACAACCCACTTCACTATACTAGGTTACAACCAACTTCACTGTACAAGGCTATAAGGCTATAAACATCACCCTGGAATACATTATACATCACCCTGGACCACATTATACATCACCCTGAACTCCATTATACATCACCCTGGACCATGACATAGGGATACATTGATGACAGACCAGTACCTTGACATAGGGATACATTGATGACAGGTCAGTACCATGACATAGGGATACATTGATGACAGACCAGTATCATGACATAGGGCTACATTGATGACAGACCAGACCAGGGATACATTGATGACAGGTCAGTACCATGACAAAGGGATACATTGATGACAGACCAGTAACATGACATAGGGATACAGTGATGACAGACTAGACCAGGGATACATTGATGACAGGTCAGTACAATGACATAGGGCTACATTGATGACAGACCAGCCAAAGGATACATTGATGACAGGTCAGTACCATGACATAGGGATACATTGATGACAGACCAGTATCATGACATAGGGCTACATTGATGACAGACCAGACCAGGGATACATTGATGACAGACCAGACCAGGGATACATTGATGACAGACCAGTACCATGACAAAGGGATACATTGATGACAGACCAGTAACATGACATAGGGATAAAGTGATGACAGACTAGACCAGGGATACATTGATGACAGGTCAGTACAATGACATAGGGCTACATTGATGACAGACCAGCCAAAGGATACATTGATGACAGGTCAGTACCATGACATAGAGATACATTGATGACAGGTCAGTACAATGACATAGGGATACATTGATGACAGGTCAGTACAATGACATAGGGCTACATTGATGACAGGTCAGTACCATGACAAAGGATACACTGATGACAGACCAGACCAGGGATACATTGATGGCAGACCAGTACCATGACAAAGGGATACATTGATGACAGGTCAGTACCACGACATAGGGATACATTGATGACAGACAAGACCAGGGATACATTGATGACACAGACCAGGGATACATTGATGGTAGACCAGTACCATGACAAAGGAATGCATTGATGACAGACTAGACCAGGGATACATTGATGACAGGTCACCCAAAGGATACATTGATGACAGGTCAGTACCATGACATAGGGATACATTGATGACAGGTCAGTACAATGACATAGGGCTACATTGATGACAGACCAATACCATGACAAAGGAATACATTGATGACAGACCAGACCAGGGATACATTGATGACAGACCAGTACCATGACAAAGGGATACATTGATGGCAGACCAGTACCATGACAAAGGGATACATTGGTGGCAGACCAGTACCATGACAAAGGGATACATTGATGACAGACCAGACCAGGGATACATTGATGACAGACCAGTACCATGACAAAGGGATACATTGATGACAGACCAGACCAGGGATATATTGATGACAGACCAGACCAGGGATACATTGATGACAGACCAGTACCATGACATAGGGATACATCGATGACAGACCAGCCAAAGGATACATTGATGACAGGTCAGTACCATGACATAGGGATACATTGATGACAGACCAGACCAGGGATATATTGATGACAGACCAGCCAAAGGATACATTGATGACAGGTCAGTACCATGACATAGGGATACATTGATGACAGACCAGAACAGGGATTCATTGATGACACAGACCAGGGATACATTGATGACAGACCAGTACCATGACATAGGGATACATTGATGACAGACCAGACCAGGGATACATTGATGACAATTTTGTACCATGACATAGAAATACATTGATGACAGACCTGTGTTGTGTCTGAAGAAGTCTGAACACTGACCAGATAAGGATAACAACTATTCTATTGTATAAAACAATCTGTTTCTTTGATGATTTCTCCTCAAATTTATGTTGAGAATATGCATGTAGGACAGTAAGATGTACAAACTACACACACGTGAATAGCAACTCGATTTAGAAATAGATAGAGTAGAGCCAAATAATGAATTAAAACAGAAAATTAAGTGGTTACAACTTTGGGCAAAGAGAAACCTACAAATCAAGTTTGAAAAATATACAATTAGTGATAAGAAACTTCAAATATCAAAATCCAAGACCAACTTTTGAACATTTTGTTTCAATGTTCACTGATTTGACCAAGAATTGAATAGAAACAAGAAGAGGCCATGTGAAACATCCCTCCAGTTATTCTCAAGAAATAGCAATAACAAGAATTGTTTATGACAGACAACATACCAGAGGCAGACCGCAGACAAAAGGTCATTTGAAAAGTCCACCATGAGATGACAGTTGGCTAATAAACCTAACACAATCCATTTGAGCAATAAATGCTCAAGATCCCAGCAATTCATTGAAGACAAAATAGCTGGCATATTATCAAAACTGCCATTACCATAGAACTCCCAATAGTAACTAAAACCATGAACAGAAGTCAGTTTGATAAAACTGTACTGCAGAATCACATATAAGGTGTTGATATTTTGTACATTCCAATGGATGTGACAAGTGTTGTGTAAGAGCTTAAGGGATTAACAAACACACTTTTTGTGAGAATCTCAGCGTGACACAAGGGCCAACTCTATCAGTGTTTTTGTCTTAGTCTTACTGTTTGTTGATGCACAGAAACAAATACTCACACATGCTGGGAGATAAACACAATATTTAATGTTTCTGTAATTCATCTGCAGTAACATCACCACACCAGCAACACTCTACAGGTCTATGAGGATGAGGTCATATATTTAAGTCAGGATTTAACCAGATACTATTACTAAAACTGTACTGCAAGTAACCAGCAGAACTAATTATTTAAACAAGTAACCAGCAATACTAAATACTGTAAAAGCAAGTTTCCAGCAATATTATATGTGTGGTATATCTTACCTTGTGTACAGTCAGTGTGGTATATCTTACCTTGTGTACAGTCAGTGTGGTATATCTTACCTTGTGTACAGTAAGTGTGGTATATCTTACCTTGTGTACAGTCAGTGTGGTATATCTTACCTAGTGTACAGTCAGTGTGGTATATCTTACCTTGTGTACAGTCAGTGTGGTATATCTTACCTTGTGTACAGTAAGTGTGGTATATCTTAACTTGTGTACAGTCAGTGTAGTATATCTTACCTTGTGTACAGTAAGTGTGGTATATCTTACCTTGTGTACAGTCAGTGTGGTATATCTTACCTTGTGTACAGTCAGTGTGGTATATCTTACCTTGTGTACAGTCAGTGTGGTATATCTTACCTTGTGTACAGTCAGTGTGGTATATCTTACCTTGTGTACAGTCAGTGTGGTATATCTTAACTTGTGTACAGTCAGTGTAGTATATCTTACCTTGTGTACAGTCAGTGTGGTATATCTTACCTTGTGTACAGTAAGTGTGGTATATCTTACCTTGTGTACAGTCAGTGTGGTATATCTTACCTTGTGTACAGTCAGTGTGGTATATCTTACCTTGTGTACAGTCAGTGTGGTATATCTTACCTTGTGTACAGTCAGTGTAGTATATCTTACCTTGTGTACAGTCAGTGTGGTATATCTTACCTTGTGTACAGTCAGTGTGGTATATCTTACCTTGTGTACAGTCAGTGTGGTATATCTTACCTTGTGTACAGTCAGTGTGGTATATCTTACCTTGTGTACAGTCAGTGTAGTATATCTTACCTTGTGTACAGTCAGTGTGGTATATCTTACCTTGTGTACAGTAAGTGTGGTATATCTTAACTTGTGTACAGTCAGTGTGGTATATCTTACCTTGTGTACAGTAAGTGTGGTATATCTTAACTTGTGTACAGTCAGTGTGGTATATCTTACCTTGTGTACAGTCAGTGTGGTATATCTTACCTTGTGTACAGTAAGTGTGGTATATCTTACCTTGTGTACAGTCAGTGTGGTATATCTTACCTTGTGTACAGTCAGTGTGGTATATCTTAACTTGTGTACAGTCAGTGTAGTATATCTTACCTTGTGTACAGTAAGTGTGGTATATCTTACCTTGTGTACAGTAAGTGTGGTATATCTTACCTTGTGTACAGTCAGTGTAGTATATCTTACCTTGTGTACAGTAAGTGTGGTATATCTTACCTTGTGTACAGTCAGTGTGGTATATCTTACCTTGTGTACAGTCAGTGTGGTATATCTTACCTTGTGTACAGTCAGTGTGGTATATCTTACCTTGTGTACAGTCAGTGTGGTATATCTTAACTTGTGTACAGTCAGTGTAGTATATCTTACCTTGTGTACAGTAAGTGTGGTATATCTTAACTTGTGTACAGTCAGTGTAGTATATCTTACCTTGTGTACAGTAAGTGTGGTATATCTTACCTTGTGTACAGTAAGTGTGGTATATCTTACCTTGTGTACAGTCAGTGTGGTATATCTTACCTTGTGTACAGTCAGTGTGGTATATCTTACCTTGTGTACAGTCAGTGTGGTATATCTTACCTTGTGTACAGTCAGTGTGGTATATCTTAACTTGTGTACAGTCAGTGTGGTATATCTTACCTTGTGTACAGTAAGTGTGGTATATCTTAACTTGTGTACAGTCAGTGTAGTATATCTTACCTTGTGTACAGTAAGTGTGGTATATCTTAACTTGTGTACAGTCAGTGTGGTATATCTTACCTTGTGTACAGTCAGTGTGGTATATCTTAACTTGTGTACAGTAAGTGTAGTATATCTTACCTTGTGTACAGTCAGTGTGGTATATCTTACCTTGTGTACAGTCAGTGTGGTATATCTTACCTTGTGTACAGTCAGTGTGGTATATCTTACCTTGTGTACAGTCAGTGTGGTATATCTTAACTTGTGTACAGTCAGTGTGGTATATCTTACCTTGTGTACAGTCAGTGTGGTATATCTTACCTTGTGTACAGTCAGTGTGGTATATCTTACCTTGTGTACAGTCAGTGTGGTATATCTTACCTTGTGTACAGTCAGTGTGGTATATCTTACCTTGTGTACAGTCAGTGTGGTATATCTTACCTTGTGTACAGTCAGTGTGGTATATCTTACCTTGTGTACAGTCAGTGTAGTATATCTTACCTTGTGTACAGTCAGTGTGGTATATCTTACCTTGTGTACAGTCAGTGTAGTATATCTTACCTTGTGTACAGTCAGTGTAGTATATCTTACCTTGTGTACAGTCAGTGTGGTATATCTTACCTTGTGTACAGTCAGTGTGGTATATCTTACCTTGTGTACAGTCAGTGTGGTATATCTTACCTTGTGTACAGTCAGTGTGGTATATCTTACCTTGTGTACAGTAAGTGTGGTATATCTTACCTTGTGTACAGTCAGTGTGGTATATCTTACCTTGTGTACAGTCAGTGTGGTATATCTTACCTTGTGTACAGTCAGTGTAGTATATCTTACCTTGTGTACAGTCAGTGTGGTATATCTTACCTTGTGTACAGTCAGTGTGGTATATCTTACCTTGTGTACAGTCAGTGTGGTATATCTTACCTTGTGTACAGTCAGTGTGGTATATCTTACCTTGTGTACAGTCAGTGTGGTATATCTTACCTTGTGTACAGTCAGTGTGGTATATCTTACCTTGTGTACAGTAAGTGTGGTATATCTTAACTTGTGTACAGTCAGTGTGGTATATCTTACCTTGTGTACAGTCAGTGTGGTATATCTTACCTTGTGTACAGTCAGTGTAGTATATCTTACCTTGTGTACAGTCAGTGTGGTATATCTTACCTTGTGTACAGTCAGTGTGGTATATCTTACCTTGTGTACAGTCAGTGTGGTATATCTTACCTTGTGTACAGTCAGTGTAGTATATCTTACCTTGTGTACAGTCAGTGTAGTATATCTTACCTTGTGTACAGTCAGTGTGGTATATCTTACCTTGTGTACAGTCAGTGTGGTATATCTTACCTTGTGTACAGTCAGTGTGGTATATCTTAACTTTTTGTACAGTCAGTGTGGTATATCTTACCTTGTGTACAGTCAGTGTGGTATATCTTACCTTGTGTATAGTCAGTGTGGTATATCTTACCTTGTGTACAGTCAGTGTGGTATATCTTACCTTGTGTACAGTCAGTGTGGTATATCTTACCTTGTGTATAGTCAGTGTGGTATATCTTACCTTGTGTATAGTCAGTGTGGTATATCTTACCTTGTGTACAGTCAGTGTGGTATATCTTACCTTGTGTACAGTCAGTGTGGTATATCCTACCTGGTGTACAGTCAGTGTGGTATATCTTACCTGGTGTACAGTGTGGTATATCCTACCTTGTGTACACTCAATGTATTTGAGTACACCTGTACTCCTTCCATCACACCATCCACCATGGCAGAATACAGCTGAATCAGAATTCTGTGTTGGGTACAAAAAACATGTATTAGTACAGAAGTTCACTCATAGCTTACTGAGGTTTATTATAAAACATCTACATAATGGTTGTGTTGAATTAACTTTAAATGATTGTAGTTACTTTTTTCAATAGTTACAGTGACTGTGATCTTGATTAGAAAAGAAACATCAGATATTAAGTTTGTTTCATGACCCCTGAGCATCTCCAACTGAAAAGGCATAGGACATATATTTTTCTATCTATAATTATGTACCCTGTATATATTTTAAAATCTATAATTACTTACCTTGTTTCCTCATCTTCTACTATATAATCCTGGTTTGACTCTGTAAATACAAAAAAAACATTTAAAGTCATGACCTTAGTTTATTTTTAACCACTCCAAGCAGTTTAAAAATGGGTTAAGCTGATGATGGAACCACTCCAGTGGTTCTTTAAAGTGTCACTGAAGTATCCTATCATAGTGACAATAGACTTAACACCAGTTGTAAAAACTCAGTAAACTGAAGTGTCAGTTTATACTGACAACAGATATAATACATAATAGTAGTCCTCTCTGCTCAAGCAGAAAAGAGTACCAGATAAATTAAATTTGACTTGTGTTGGTGCACGGTCTAAGCCCATCCTCTTCCTGGTTTAAGTTATCAATGCTAACACTGTGGCCAAAATGGAGACTTTGTCAAGTTAGGCTTAATGCTGGGGCCTAAAGTGAGGTTTACACTGGGGCCAAAAGGGAGGTTTACACTGGGATCAAGAGGGAGGTTTACACTGGGACCAAAAGGGAGGTTTACACTGGGACCAAGAGGCAGGTTTACACTGGGACCAAAAGGGAGACTTTGTCAAGTTAGGCATAATAACACTAAGGCTAAAAGGAAGACATTGTCCACTGAGGCTTACCATTGGGGCCATGTAGGGTTTACAATGGGGCAGAATAGGAGATATTGTCAAGTAAGGCTTAGAACACAGTGGTCAAAAGGGAGATATTGTCAAGTAAGGCTAAAAACACTTGGGCCAAAAGAAAGGTATTGTGTATGAGGCATAAGTATTGTCAAATGACGCTTCATTGCTACATTGCTTCAGTGGGGCCAAAAGGGAGATATTGTCATGTTAGGTTTTACATTGGGAACAAAAATGCTTCAGTGCCACATTGTTTCAGCTCTACATTGCTTCGGTGCCACACCATATTGTTTCAGCACTACATTGCTTCAGTGCCACTTTGTTTCAGCATTACATTGCTTCAGTGCCACATCACATTGTTTCAGTACTACATTGCCTCAGTGCCACATTGTTTCACCACTACATTGCTTCAACGCTACAATGCTTCAGTGCCACACCACATTGCTTCAGCATTACATTGCTTCAGTGCCACACCACATTGTTTCAGCACTACATCACTTCAGTGCCACATTGTTTCAGCACTTCATTGCTTCAGTGCCACATTGTTTCACAACTACAATGCTTCAGTGCCACATTGTTTCAGCACTACATTGCTTCAGTGCCACATTGTTTCAGCACTACAATGCTTCAGTGCCAAATTGTTTCAGCACTACATTGTTTCAGTGCCACATTGTTTCAGCACTACAATGCTTCGGTGCCACATTGTTTCAGCACTACATTGCTTCAGTGCCACATTGCTTCAGCTCTACATTGCTTCAGTGCCACATTGTTTCAGCACTACAATGCTTCAGTGCCACATTGTTTCAGCACTACAATGCTTCAGTGCCACATTGTTTCAGCACTACATTGCTTCAGTGCCACATTGTTTCAGCACTACATTGCTTCAGTGCCACATTGTTTCAGCTCTACATTGCTTCAGTGCCACATTGTTTCAGCTCTACATTGCTTCAGTGCCACATTGTTTCAGCACTATATTGCTTCAGTGCCACATTGTTTCAGCTCTACATTGCTTCAGTGCCACATTGTTTCAGCACTACAATGCTTCAGTCTTAAATTGTTTCAGCATTACATTGCCTTAGTGCCACATTGCTTCAGCACTACAATGCTTCAGTGCCAAATTGTTTCAGCACTACATTGTTTCAGTGCCACATTGTTTCAGCACTACAATGCTTCGGTGCCACATTGTTTCAGCACTACATTGCTTCAGTGCCACATTGCTTCAGCTCTACATTGCTTCAGTGCCACATTTTTCAGCACTACAATGCTTCAGTGCCACATTGTTTCAGCTCTACATTGCTTCAGTGCCACATTGTTTCAGCACTACAATGCTTCAGTCTTAAATTGTTTCAGCATTACATTGCCTTAGTGCCACATTGCTTCAGCACTACATTGCTTCAGTGCCACATTGTTTCAGCTCTACATTGCTTCAGTGCCACATTGTTTCAGCACTACAATGCTTCAGTCTTAAATTGTTTCAGCATTACATTGCCTTAGTGCCACATTGCTTCAGCATACAATGCTTCAGTGCCACATTGTTTCAGCACTACAATGCTTCAGTGCCACATTGTTTCAGCACTACATTGCTTCAGTGCCACATTGTTTCAGCACTACATTGCTTCAGTGCCACATTGTTTCAGCTCTACATTGCTTCAGTGCCACATTGTTTCAGCTCTACATTGCTTCAGTGCCACATTGTTTCAGCACTACATTGCTTCAGTGCCACATTGTTTCAGCTCTACATTGCTTCAGTGCCACATTGTTTCAGCACTACAATGCTTCAGTCTTAAATTGTTTCAGCATTACATTGCCTTAGTGCCACATTGCTTCAGCATACAATGCTTCAGTGCCACATTGTTTCAGCTCTACATTGCTTCAGTGCCACATTGTTTCAGCACTACAATGCTTCAGTGCCACATTGTTTCAGCACTACATTGCTTCAGTGTCACATTGTTTCAGCACTACATTGCTTCAGTGCCACATTGTTTCAGCTCTACATTGCTTCAGTGCCACATTGTTTCAGCACTACAATGCTTCAGTCTTAAATTGTTTCAGCACTACATTGCTTCAGTGTCACATTGTTTAAGCAGTACATTGTCATTACAGCACCAGATTGTAAATTTACTCTCAAGTCCCAATGCCTGGGTAAGTACCCACATCACAGTCATTAAGTTTTGTAACTATAGTTGGAGCTATCATTATCAATCTGTAATTTTTTGTCCCCTCAGATCTCTGGTGCTGGTCTTATAAAACCTTCATGTTGCCATTTTGTTGACTATCCATACCTGGAGATAATTGTTCTAGTAAATATCCTTGGACCCTCACTGCTGGCCTTAAAACCCTCACCATTGCCATTGTTTCTATAGTTAAGAGTCTGCTGGATTGATAATGTTCACTAATGAAGTCCCTTTCCCATACATTCCAAGGTCTACTATAGATGTCTAACAATTCACACTCACAAGTAATGATACACTATAACTTGCCAAAATCTTTTCAAACCTAATCTAACAAAAAAGTCACACTGACAACACAAACAAATATAAGAATGAAATATCATTATTTGACTTCCCAGAAAACATCTATCTACAAGACTACTATTGTAAACCCTGACCGATATGCCTGGTTCAAGAAAGAAATGGCTGACCTCCACCACCCTACTACAAATTGTCTGGTGAAGAGTCATTCTTCTGCAAGGAGAATGTCTTCATTTCCCTTGATATAAATAGTCTGTTTCCCAATGTAGTGATCCTTCATCTTACTATCATTTTCCTGTCATTAAATATATATATAACTTATATATTCCCGATATTCAATATTCCCAGAGTTTCATCAGACACGGGTAGTTGTCCTTATATGTCATTTTTTCTTTATCACAATAAAAATAAACATATAACCAACTTATATAGACATTATCAGCACAGTTTGCCCCAAATATGAATTTCCAACGCATGACAGCGTGTAATCACAGAAAACATGGCAAAGTATTATAGAGAGAAAATAAATGCTGGTATGTGATCCTTTTAAATGGTTCTCGTGGGAACATGTTCCAAGAACAACTGAAATTTATTTCAATATCCCAAAATAAAAAATTCTCAGATTTACATTCATTCATTTACATTGTGTATGATAAAACCAGTTGATTAAGGTGTGAATTTAACATAACACATGAACTTTTAACCAACAAAATTGAAATTGAATGGAAGCTGCCAGCGTGGTAAAAATGTTTGACGCAATGATCTGGTGGCTGTGAGAAAGTTAGTCCCCTGTGACAATGCAAACATACTCTAATACAAAACAGTCCTAATTCAGCTGTAATACCCCTAGGCCAGGTGTGCTAAAACGACTCATATACTCCCTTGGGCCTTAATAATATACTTTCCAACAATTATATGTGGTTTAACTTGAATACTCTTAAATCTTTATAAAAGACAAAGGAAGGACAAACACATTCTCCCCTCCTGATAAACAACACACACACACTAATTGACAGTGTGAGAGATAGACCCACAAACCCTATTCCCCCTGATAAACAACACACATCCACTAGCTGACAGTATGAAAGACAAAAATATCCTATTCCCCCTGAGAGACAAAACATCCACTAACTGACAGTATGAAGGACAAAAATATCCTATTCCCCCTGAGAGACAAAACATCCACTAGCTGACAGTATGAAAGACCAAAATATCCTATTCCCCCTGAGAGACAAAACATCCACTAGCTGACAGTATGAAAGACCAAAATATCCTATTCCCCCTGAGAGACAAAACATCCACTAGCTGACAGTATGAAAGACCAAAATATCCTATTCCCCCTGATAGACAAAACATCCACTAGCTGACAGTATGAAAGACAAAAATATCCTATTCCCCCTGAGAGACAAAACATCCACTAGCTGACAGTATGAAAGACAAAAATATCCTATTCCCCCTGAGAGACAAAACATCCACTAGCTGACAGTATGAAAGACCAAAATATCCTATTCCCCCTGAGAGACAAAACATCCACTAGCTGACAGTATGAAAGACAAAAATATCCTATTCCCCCTGAGAGACAAAACATCCACTAGCTGACAGTATGAAAGACCAAAATATCCTATTCCCCCTGAGAGACAAAACATCCACTAGCTGACAGTATGAAAGACCAAAATATCCTATTCCCCCTGAGAGACAAAACATCCACTAGCTGACAGTATGAAAGACCAAAATATCCTATTCCCCCTGAGAGACAAAACATCCACTAGCTGACAGTATGAAAGACCAAAATATCCTATTCCCCCTGAGAGACAAAACATCCACTAGCTGACAGTATGAAAGTATGAACTAGCTGACAGTATGAAAGACCAAAATATCCTATTCCCCCTGAGAGACAAAACATCCACTAGCTGACAGTATGAAAGACCAAAATATCCTATTCCCCCTGAGAGACAAAA